TAAATATTATTAAATTCAGACCATTTCTGAATTTTAGAATAAAAGTAATTAATCTACTGAAAGAATGGCAAACCAGAACAGATTAAAAATTGTAATTAAAGAATGGGAATGACATTTGGTATCAGAGGCATCTTGCAGACTATCTGAGTGGTACACTAAACAAAGTGAGTTATTTCTACCATAATAACAGTATTTGCTATAATACAATGGCAAGCTAGAAATCTAATTGCAACCTGTCAAGGATTTAAAAAAAAAAAACCATGGTTATAATGTGGAAAATGCAGAAAGAGTAGATATGATCTTATTTTTAAAAGAACAGGGTAATGCTGCTGTATAGTTTCATTTCCAGATATCAGGATTTAATATAATAAGAAAAGACAGAGAAAATGAAAATTGGGGAGACTTTGAATAGGAACTTTAAGAAGGGGATTTGCAACCGAATGGAAACAGGCTGATTTTGATTATATTTCAATGTGAGATAAGTAAAGATGGGTAAATCCAAAGTAAAACATAATTATAAGTTTCTTCATAATCCCTGGCAAAGATTAGATCCCAGAATTGTGTTAGTAGCTCTAACAACTTTTTACCATTCATGGGGGACCCACTGTACATTAACCATGGTCAGAAGACAGATAAAAATGTGCTTATAAGTGGAAATAATCATAAAGGTGTTTAATAAGATATCTGGAATTCAAAGTTTTTCTTTCTTTTTTGGAAATGAAAAAATCATAAATAAACTCATAATAGAAAATAATCTCATCCACAGCAGAGTAGGAGTGAGGAGGCAGACTGTGAATCCACTCCGACGCAGAGAACGAGACGCCAAGCACAAACTACTTCGTCTAATGAGCATCATCGGTCTTCCATGCTGTGCACAGCGCCTTGGTTTCTCTTCACAGTGTCCACCATGAATGCCAACTAATTCCCATGAAACACATTTTGATGAGAACACAGATGATCTCACAGAATCGCAGGGGCTAACTGACCAAAACTGCAGACAAGCAGTTCTGTGTTCACAGCGGCTGGAAAGGATGCATGCTGTTCATTTTAATACAAAAATGACCCTCTCAGGGGTGGCAGAAGTCACAACCCTTCACGTAAACACCACGTGGTTTTTGCCCTACTGATACATAGGTGAGATTAACAGCTTCCTTTTAGGTGAATGTCTGAGATTTGGGAATACTTGATTGATTATGAGGGATCTGAAGTTGACCAGGTAAATATTCATAGAAGATACTCAAAACATGGCCACTCTGCTCTGAGTCTGAGAAAGCAACTGTGGGATAATAAGTCTGGTGATTCCTGTGTCCTTTCTCCTGCCTACTCTAACACAGAGGTAAACGGACACGCACAAGAAACAAGATCTTAGGAGCCAGATGCTCGGCAAAATGTATTTTTGTAGGTTACATATTGCAGAGAGAGATGGGGGAGGGAGATTGAGAGGGAGATTTTTAGAAATTACAAGGTGTTTTTGTTTTTTGTTTTTGCAAATGAAATTAAAACAATAAAAAACAAATAGAGAGCATTGGTAAGAAAATTAAGCAAAAATAGCATTTCTCCAGTAGTGCCATCTTTGAAGAAATTGCATTAACCTTTTCCATCTCAGAGCATTTTTTTCTGAAATATATAATTAAACAATGGTATTAGCCGTTTCTATTTTATTAAGTACATTACTTGATTTTTCCCATTACTGAATTCATTATCACAGATATTGACATGAGTTACTAGATCAGAGGCGGCTTCTATGTAGAAGCCATACATACAGCTATGTATGTATTATTCTTTAAGAGAATATTCATTTTATTCATAATTACAGTAGTGGATTGTAAGTAGTTTGGATAAGAAGAATCATAAGGAGAAAAATTGCACAAATCTATTCTCCTGTCATACAGATTATACTTATTATCATTTTGTATATTTCCTTCCAGAATTTTACTCTTTTAAAATTTTATATAAATATATATACTATAGAAATTTATTTTTCTTAATACTAATCAATACTTGTTTATTTGGTAAAAGTTTCAAAGAGTATCATTTATTTGCAGTTCAATATGCTATCATATCAACCAATGGACTCTATCTTTAGCATTTGTTTATTTATTTGCCTTTGATTTTCAATCACTTTAGAGCATAGTTCCTGGTGATTTTTCCTTCTGGGAATACCGATGAGGTACATCTCTCAGCTTCCTTTACCAGGCTCTCTGTGTCCAGGAGTGATTTTTTTTCCCTAAAGAAATGTGTGAAGAAGTGAAGAAGTAGCATGAGATGTTTCCAGATTGGCTCATGACCACCTTTCACAAGATTTTCAAATCTCTCCCCTTCTCTGCTGTTAGTTGAGGCTGAGTCTAGAAGACATGTGTAGAAGACAACTAGCATGATTCAGGCCGTTGCTGAAGGATTGTGGCACCCAGTGTCCCTGACTGCTCCTGCCTCCAGTTGTTATAGGGATGAGAAGCGATACTCCAGCCTGCTGAGCTCCTGAGAGCTGGGGTTTCTCGTTCATTGCTGGCATAATCTGAACTATTGGAGAAGACAGTGGTGTTGGAGAGGCGGTCCTAGCCGCTCACAGGATGTGATCTGTAATGTGTAGGCTGGCAGTGGGTAGAGAGGAAAACAGTAGCTGGATGGGAAGATAGAGTCATGTGACGAAGCAGGAAAGTGTTGGAAGCTGTTACCAGAGCTACCTACAGACAGACAGACCAGGCACTTACAGAGCTCTAGGCAAAGACAAGGGAAATAAATCTTATGATGTGTGAGGGTTGTTAGCAGGTGGTATCAGGAAAGTATTGGAAGAAACACTGAGTCAGTAAACAGCTGGGTGATTTTTTTTATAGCATAAATATAAAGAAATACACACAGAAAAGAAGTTTGGGGTATCTAAGAGCTTAGAAAGCTGTCTGTTTCTGAACCCTATCAAATGGAAGCCAAGCTGGAAAGCCCCTCAGGGAAGGTCCAGTGCTGTGATCTGATTCAGAACGTTGTCTTTTCTCAGGAGTGTGGTGGTGATGACATCATCCCATGATCACATGCATGTGGGAGATGCTTAAAGACCAGAGGAGGAGGAGGAGGAAGCAGGGGTAATAACTGTGCTTATGGGGGAAGTTTGCATGCGGCTCCTGGCCTGCAGCTCCAAGTGGAGAGGACTGGATCAGAAACTAATTAGAGGAGGACTAAGAACCTTTCACCCCCAGAGACTTAGAATCATCCTGGAGCCCCAACCTGGAATGAGCAGAGAACCGTGGCCTCAGAAGCCCTGCTCACTACCTCTAGATCTGCAGACCAGGTTCCCTCGGCTCATAATCTCTCCTTAGCTGAATCAGAGGGTTTTTTTTTTTCTTTTCTTTTTTTCCTCCCTTTGAAAGTTAAGGAAAAACTGTTGGGTGTGGTGGCCCATGCCTGTAATCCTAGCACTCCGGAGGCTGAGGCAGGAGAATGGAGAGTTCCAGACCAGCCTGGACTACACAGTGAGATCCTGTTACCAGCCAAACCAAACTGAAACAAGATGCTAAATCCCATCCCCCCAGTGTTGGACAGTAAAAAGGAACCAGGCACTGACGCATGCTTCAACGTGAACGAACTTTGACAATACACCCAGAGAAAGAAACAGACACTGAGGACACGCAGTGTGAGAGCCCAATCATATGAAATCCACGAGAGCCATAGCTGTGGAGGCAGAAAGCTGATTGGGTGGTGCCTGGCACCAAGCTGGGGTGAGGGATGGTCACAATGGGTGCCAGAACATTAAAGGAATGTGGGAAGTCTTCTAGACTTGTAAATGGACTTAAAAATCATTGAAACAAATGCCTGTCTAGAGAGGATCAGCACATTAGACTATTTCCAAACACGGAACTGGCCTACAAGAGTTGTCTTTCCATGGAACTTCAAAGAAAAATGTTTTGAAGCCTGGTATGGTGGTGCATGACTTTAATCCCAGGACTTGGGGAGGCAGAAGAAGGTCTCTGTGAGTTCAAGGCCAGCCTGGTCTACATAGTGATAGTTTCAGGACAGCCAGAGCTACACAGTGACACCCTGTCTCAAAACAACAACAACAACAAAATCCAAAACAAACAAACAAACAAACATGAAAAAAGAAAAAGATGTCTTGAAACTAAATTTTTTTTGGATTTTTTTTTTAAAGAAACTTTTTTTATTCATTTTACATACCAACCACAGATCCCCCTCTCATTCCTCCTCCCACTCTCCCTCTCCCAACTCACCTCCATCCCCTCCTCCAAAAGGGTATGGGTTCCCATGGGGAGTCAGCAAAGCCTGGTACATTCAGTCGAGGCAGGACCGAGCCCCTCCCCACTGCATCAAGGCTGAGCAAGGCACCCCACCATAAGGAATGGGATCCAGGAAGCCAGCTCATGCACCAGGCATAGAACCTGATTCCCACTGCCGGGGGCCCCTCAAACAGACCCAGCTATGCAGCGAGCTCCTCAACCAGCGAGGAAGAACGACTACCACGTGAGGATTCTTCTCAGATCACACTTTATTGGAGCACCTCTTGGTTAAGGGAGAGCGGGAGGTGAGGGGCCCTGAGGACTAAAATGCAGCTGCTTATATAGGGAATCAGGCAAACGTGCCGTACTGTGATTGGGTCCCGCCAGAATGCGAGCACGGGGAGCCACGGGATAGGCTGAGGACATGGAGTCAATTACCATACTCGCGCATGCGCAGGCCTCGGGACACATAGTCCTAGGAGCATAGCCAAATATGGAGTTGTTTACAGCTGGGCTACCAGGAAGCCAGCGCCATCTTAGAATGGCGGCTCCCTACTCAGCTACACAACTGTCTCCCATATGCAGAGGGCCTAGTCTGGTCCCATGCAGGTTCCACAGCTATTGGTCTAAAGTTCGGGAGTTCCTACGAGCTTGGTTCAGTGGTCTCTGTAGATTTCCCTGTCATGATCTTGACTCCCCCACCTGCCCTGCTCATATAATCCTTCTTCCCTCTCTTTGATGGGATTCTCTGAGCTCAGTCTGGTGCTTGGCTGTGGATCTCTGCATCTGCTCAGTTACTGGATGAAGGCTCTCTTGGTCCAATCGGAGCTGGCAGAGTCTGTGTCTCAGGGAGCAGCTGCCGTCTTGGGGTATGGGTGGGTTTGGGGGACGGAGTGGGGCTTGTAAATGACAGGGTCCGATGGGGGATGGTGGTGGTCAGGCCTGTCTGCAGGAGTCTTGCCTGCTGGCCTGCAACTGTGAAATTAAAATACTATTATATCATTTCCCCCTCACCTCTCTTCCCTCCAGCCCTTCCCATGCACCTTCCACACCTTGTTCTCTCTCATTCATAGCCTCTATTTCTTTGTTTTTACACACACACACACACACACACACACACACACACACACACACACACTCCTAAATATGTAAATACAACTTCCTTGGTCTGTATAATGTCACTTGTATGCATATGATTTTGGGGCTGACTACTTGTTTTAGATAACCAGTTGGAGGGCTCCTACCTGAGGAAACTATTTCCCCTGCTCTCAGCATTCCTTAGTTGCCTATAGTTCTAATCTTGAGGCCTCAGGACCTTTCCCCTTTTACATTAGCATGCCTATTGATGTAGTCTTTGTTCAGGTTTTTTTTAGGCAGCCATGTTGATGAGACTTGATGGTGTGTGTAGTTTCTCTGACATTTCTAGAAGACAAAAATCTCACAGCAAACTCCCTGTTCCTTTGGATCTTACAGTCTTTCCACCCTCTGTCCCACAGCGATACCTGAGCCTTAGGAACAGGCATTGTGTTGTAGGTGTATCATCTGGGGCTGGGTACCACACAGTCTCTTGTCCTCTGCGTTTTAATCCATTGGTTGAGGATTTCTGTAATGGTCCTGTCTGTTGCAAGGAGATGTTTCTTTGGTGAGACCTATACTTATGTGTAGGTGTAAGGATAAACTTTTAGAATGTAGTTAGGAATTATGCTGGTTTAACACAGTTGTGGTAGGAGGTTCTCCTCCAGGATCCCTGACTTCACTAGCCCGGGCTAACTGGTTGGGTTTCTGGTCCCAGCATGGGTTCCCTCTTGTTGAATGGTCCTTAAGTACAATTAGAGAGCTGTTGGTTTTTACCAGAGTGTGCATGCCACCACTCTACACTCTACCCTAAGGGCTGTCTTGGCATGTTGGTCTTATTTTTTTTTTTTTTAAGTTCATAGGCAACATACCTTGGTAGAGGTAATGGTTGCTGCCTTCCGTTGGAAGCAGGCATGCATGGTGACTTCCAAGGGGAGTATAAAAGGTAGTCTTCAGGGAGAAGGCTTTCATGTCAGAGCCGCCTCAGATCCTTGGGTCCTGTGTTGGAAATAAATGGTGTCTTCAGCGATGGGGAATACCTTTAACCTCTGGGAGGCAAACTGGGCAACAGCAATAGCCTACAATGTTTCATCTGGCAGTCCTGGACAACCCTGACAAAGAGCTGAAAAGGGGCTTCTCATACCTAGTATTAGGGTTTTTGTTAGTCTGGGGCAGGGTTAGTATTGTCAGGCTTCCTTGGAAATCTCAATGTATTTCTATTGAAAACTAACAACAACAACAACAATGTAGTTGGAGTGTGGTGTTTATGCTAGGGACTCCTATGTCTATAAAAACATGAGGGTACCCTGTGGTCTGAACTTTGGCATTTCCTTTCCCTCCAGAATTATGTGTTAAGAGATAATTAATAAAGTGTTCATTGGGGGAGGGACCTTTCAGAGGTGATTGGGTTCTAAGGAAGATTGCAACCCTCAGGGGTAAGGTTAGTGCCCTTTGAAAAGGAGAACCTAGAGCTTTCTCCAGAGGAGGATGTGGTGAGAAGACCCGGATCCTGGATACCAGGAAATAGTCCCCACTAGAATGTGCATCTCCCAGCATCTTGACTGTGACCTTCCCAGCCTTCTGAACTGTGAGAATGACTATTTCTTTTCCAGAAACCATCCAATCCATTATATTTTTCTATGAATAAGGTAACTTGGATGGAATGAGACAGGGTAGAGTTACCAACTTCTATTTCCCCTAAAATATAGAAACTTTTTGGCCATCACATATCATAAGGCAAAAACCAACAGAGACACATCCACTTCTAAAATCAGGTTATCTCAGAGTTCAGTGAGAAACTTCATGCTGTGGACTTACATTTTCATGTGTGTAGATTAGTTGGACTACATACAGAGATTGGCCCTCTCCAGTTTAAAAACAGTTACATTTGTATGTGTGTGTAACTCATTTGATATCAAGTGTCCCATTTTCATAGTTTGATTTAACATTAATGGGCAAAATCTTATAGTTCATCTCTAACTAACTTGCCCAATAGGCTAATTTTAGTTAATAGGTATTGCCCAAACTGAAGTCTGACCTGTTCTGGAGGAGAGACAACTCCAATATATAACACAGGATTGCACAAGGCCCCAGGAGTTTTAAACAAAACCGGCTAATGTGGGTTGATGTGGCCTGAAGTAGTGTCTGCCCTTCAGTTCTTACTCTTCATAATCACCTAAACAAAACAAAAACGGGTTTAAAGTGTGATTCCCTCCAGGAAGTAAAGACAGAAAGAAAGTAAATGTTTAAGGAATTGTGCGGCCGGCGGCTTGGGGGTGACAAATGTGACCCTAACAGCTGTTTCTTACAGTACGTTACACACGCGTTTCCCGAAGGGACGTACGCTACTTGGTGGTAGAAGCCGAAATCTAAAGTCCTTCTCTGCGTATTGATCAACCAAACACAGGATAAAAATGAGCAACTCATCACACCATGTATCACTGTTTTCTGAATAGATTGCCGTCTCTACTGGGGGCATACAACAGAAAAAACAAACCCTATTAAATGGCAATGTTTTCATGGCTTCTCTCATTAAATAGTGGGAGGAGAGCCAAGTGTTAGCACTGCCTTGTAGTCATTCTCCAAGAGGAGCAGCAGTAGCATATTGTCAGGGACTCTAAACTCCAGGTCATGTAGACGACAGCCATGGAAAACCACGAATTTAAAACGACACAACCTGAACTTGTCAGGCGGTGACTGACAAGTGGGTAATTAAAATTATTTGGAAGTGATGAATATTCATGCCAGCAAGAACACAGTGTATATTTATGAAGAAGGGGGAGATATTTGCACGTGAAGCACATGATAGCAACTGCCTGAAAACCAGAAGTACCTGGGGCCATCTGAGAGGTAGGGTCCTGGACTCTGACTTGATGTGAGGGACCATGGGTCCTTCAAGTTGTCTGGTAAGGAGAAGATTGGGGGATTGTCTTGCAGTTTAACACAGAAGTGCTCCAAATTTTATACATGCTGTATCCAGAGTTGTATAATTACCTTCAACAGGTTGCATCCCCCTCGCTTAATGTCGTACAAAAGCCCTCCCCTGAGAGAGGAGGGCAGAGCTCAGGGCTCACGGCCAGTGCCACACTGCTCCCTTCTTCTCTGACATTTTGTCCCCTAGGACAGTGAGTCAGAGTTTTGGATGCCTGTAGGGATTGCCTGGGGAGTTTGAAAACGGTGTTCTCTAGGTCTCACGGTCAAGAAGCCGGAGTGTGGCTTGGGCATCACAGCTTTCAAGTGCTATTGATTCTCAGCTGTCTTAGAAGCACGGCTCAGACATTTCAGTGAGTAGAGCTGGGGCTCTAGGAGAGAACCCGTGGCCCTGACTTTTCTGTGTTCTGTGGCCGTGGCCCTGCCTTCTACCTTTAAAGCCACGAATGCAGTACCCTCAGAGCTCTCCAGGACTCTGGCTTCCCTGTGGTTGTCACGTCTCCTTGTAAGGATCACGTGATTGGGCCCACCCACAGTCAAAGACCAGCCAGCAATCGGGGGAACCTCTACTTATCCTTCCTAAACAGATCAAGAAACAAAAGGAAGCCTGTGTGTTAATCAGCTTTCTATCAGTCTAATGAAGTGCTGGGTATAATCAACTTAGAAAGAGAAAAGATGCTGACGGGCTCCAGTCCGTGATTAGCTGGCGCTGCAGCTTTGGCCCGCGAGGAGGCAGGGTGCTGTGGCGGGATGTGGGTGAGAGTGAAAGCAGGCAGCGTGTGGCCTCTGCAAGGTGAGTTCCCGTCACTGGGATACACCGCAGTGACCAGAGGCCACCCACCCACAGCACAGACGCAAGTGTCTGCTTGAGAAGAGCACTCAGGGCAGGGAGGTGTGGCAGCAGGAGGCTGGAGGAGGAAGCTGGGAGGTCACATGTCAGCCTCACCCCAGAAGCGGAAACAGAGACCTGGGAGGAGTGCAGGGAGGCTGTGGACTGGTAAAGTCCGCCCACCGTGACATGCTTCCTCCAGCAAGGCTCGCCCCCTAAAGGTTCCGTTGCCTTCCATCACAGCTGCGTTGATAGGGACCAAGTGTTTGAACATGTGAACCTAGGGAGAGCATGCCACATCCAAAGCATGGCAGCCTCTGAGACACAGCAGAGAGGCAGAGGCATTGGACAGGCTGTCTGACAGACCAGCTTGTGCTGGCCTCCTGCTGGTCACCTGCTCCAGCTGCAGCCGGGGGGTCATCTGCTTTTAGATACATGACCTCATGCCCATTTTGTTTTCTATGATTTCAGTTACTCGAGGTCAAATGCAATAAAAATTATTAAATGGGAAATTTCAGAAATAATCTAAGCATAAGTTTGAAATTTTGAACCCCTTTGAGTAGTGTGATAAAACCGCCTGCCATCCCACTCTGCCCACCTAGGACATTCGTCTCCACATTTTAGTTAATTTACGTGGACTTCTTTCTGCAGTAATAGCATTTACCCAGTTCTTCTGTCTCGGTTGTTACTCCTTTTGCTCACACTGGTGTTCAGCAAAGACAGAGGTAAACTTTACACTCTTGGACAATTTACTTATCACTTGCTAATGTTTACAGAAGTAGTTAGCGCTATGAAGTTACTTGAGGCTGTGTAACTGCTTTGCTAGGTCAGTGCAGTGTGTCTACATTTGGTATGATGTCATACGATTGATTTTCCTGGAATTGTGTGTAGATTATTGGGATTTTCAGACAAATAGAAGCTGATCTCTCCTGAGTTTAACGACACATTCATCCAGTGGGGATTGTGATACAATGGTTTGAACCAACTTTGAAGGTGAAGCCAGTGCCACGTTAATGTTTTTGGATCCCACTCTTCCCGGGTTGGCAGTAAATAAATGAAAGTTAGTTTCCTCTATACTTGGGGTTTAAAGTTGGGTTTAAGGACAACTTAAATTAAAATCTCTTTCAAAATATAGATACAGTCAAGAATGGAAGGAAGATAAAGAATATTAACATACTAGAAAAGATTACAAAGAATAATTTTTTGTGAGGAAAGAAAAAGAATGTTAAACTTTTATAGCATGGTTAGGGAGATTTCAAGTGGTGTGTGATGATGTATCAGCTACAACAGAATTAAGAGACAATATTCCTTTTATTCACTGTGGTTTCCATTATCTGTGGTCAAAATTATTAAAAGTTATCTGAAATTATTAAATGTAGCCTGAATTATTAAATGCAAAATTCCAGGAGCAGGGGTATGGCTCGTTGGTGGAGAGTTTGCAATCCCTAATACCACAAGCATCAACTGGGCATGGTAATGTAGGCCTGTAACCCCAGCACTTGGGGGAGAGAGGTGGGGGGATCAGAAGTTTGGCTATCTATCCAGTTTGAGGCTAGCCTGGGATACATGAAATCCTATCTCAGAATCAACCAACTAATCCAGAAATAACTCAAAAAAATTCGTGAATGCCATCCTGAGTGGTGTGACAGACACTTGCCCCAGTCTGCCCCTTTCACCAGAGACACCACCTCTCCCTTTGTCCTATGCAGCCACACTGCATATGCCTGTCAGTCACGTTGTAGCCCCGCCCCATTACATCACCAGGCTCCTGATCATTGTGCTTGTCTTATTGTCTTGTTTTATTTAATAACAGCTGCAAAGTGCACAACAGGGATGCTGGCAGCTCGGCTGCACCAAAGAGAAGATGCAAAGTACTTCTTTTAAGTAAAAAGATGAGCATTCTTAATTTGAGGATGGGGGGGCGGAATGCCATGTACTGAGTTTGCTAGGATCTCTGGTGGGAATGAATCTTTGGTGAAAGTGTCAGGAAGGGCCCAGGAATCTATGCTGGCTTTGCGGTCTCACCTCAAGCTGTAAGAGCCACAGCCATGTTTGTGCCAGTGTGTAGTTAAGAGAGAAAAGACGTCTGACTTGTGGATGGAAAACGTGACCTGGAAATGTGTCCGGACTGACAGTTGTGGCCCGTGCCAGCAAGCACTGAGCTACTCTGAAGGGCTGGACAAAGGATGTTGAAACAGTACTGTCACCAAGCCATTTCCCGAAAGCAAGGGATGGATGCTTGCACAGATTCCAAGAAAGACATGAGCAGAAAGACGAAAAAAAAATTACTGGAGAGCCTGTTAGTTAAATCCTTTACTGTGTCTAATTTATAAATTAAACACCACAGGTATGCGTGTATGTGAAGAAACCTGGTACATACAGAGCCAGGTATTGCCCCCTGTTTAGGGAATTCACTGGGAATGCTGGGAGATATTTCCAGTAGGTGATCATGGAGTCAAAATACCATTCTGCTAGCTAGTGTTTTGTGCGCATGTGTGGTGGGCACGCTATCCTGTGTGTGAATGTATGGGGGCTGGAGGTTGACTTTGGGTGTTTCCCTCTATTATTTTTCACTTTATTTATTTGTTTATTTACTTATCTCTCATTTATTTACTTGGGGCAGGATGTCTCACTGAGCCTGGAGCTCTCTGTTTCAGGGAAACTTCTTGGCCCAGTGAGTCTCTGAGATCTGCTGCTCCACTCCCCAGTGCTGGGGTAACAGGCGTGTGCCATCACTCCTGGGTGCTGGAGATCGGAACTCTGGCCCTCCGGCTGCTTGCCTAGCAAACACCTTTATTTCCTGAGATGGCCCCAGTCAAGCTGTGGATCTTGGTAATTCTTACTTTTGTATCCTAGTGCCTGGCACACAGAAAATACCCAATCAATATTTTGGAATAAGCAGTGACTCTCAGCCTTTCTTCTTCCTCAAACCCATGTGGAGGGTTGTCTTCGTTAGATTTTCATTGCTGTGAAGAGACCACGGCAACTCTTATGAAGAAAACATTTAATTGGGGGTGGCTCACTTACAGTTTCAGAGGTTCAGTCCATTATCATCATGAAGGGGAGCCTGGCAGCGTGCAAGCAGACTTGATGCTGGAGCTGAGAGTGCTACATCTTGCAGGCAACAGGAAGTCGACTGACTGTCACACCGAGGGAAGCTTGAGAAAAAGAGACCTCAAAGCCCGCCCCCCCCACAGTGACGCACTTCCTCCAACAAGGCCACACCTCCTAATAGTGCCCCTCCCTTTAGGGGCCATTTTCTTTCAAATCACCAAGAGGGTGTTACAGCAAGGCTGTGAGGCTCTCCCAAGAGGCTCTGACGTGGCCGACTTGGGTGGTCCAAGGAGGTGTTTCTAACCGGATGCCGGGGTTTGCCCGTGTAGCTGGCTGGGAGCCACATTTGTAGTCAGTGAGGGGATAAAGCTCTAGTGCTTTCCTCCTGCAATGAACCTTTGTTGCCACGGGATAAAATACTTGCCCCAGCTTTGAAATACTTTGTCACCATTTCTAGTTTCTTCCCCTTTAAAAGTGCATCTTTTAGAAACTGGAAAAGAAAATCGTGTTTCTTGATAGCAGCTGCTGCGTTGTTTATTTCATCTATGTGAATTCTCTAGAGACAAAACAATCGAGGGGCAAAGGATCCCCGTGGGCAAGGGAATGCTTCAAAACCTCTAGCTGCCCGGGGTCACGATCTGACGAAAACTGTCTCCCTTTAACCTTGAGGTTGCAGTTTGCATTTGGTTTGATTTCTCTGGCTCGGCTGCTTAGTTTCTTTGTCCTACTCCCCAGTGGATAAAAATATTAAAATCAGGCAGGCGAGATGGGTCACTGGATAAAAAGCACTTGCTGTGCAAGTCTGATGAACTGTGCTGGATCCCTGGAGCCCACACACAAAGGAAGGAGAGAACTGGCTCCACAAGCTGTCTTCTGGCCTCTGCATGCATGTTGTGGCATGTGCACCCCCCACACACTGTACAAACATGTACATACACATGCACACACACACACAGACCCACACTAGTTAATTATTTTAGTTAGAGGAAGGTCTTCACATGCTGTTGCTGAGAGCATGGCATGATTAATATGGGTAAAAATTAGTCAGTCATTTGTCCTGGACTTAGGAGAGATACATTTCACCATACAAATAAATATAACGCTTACCTAGTGTATACTCCGGAAGTTAATTGTGTGTGTGTGTGTGTGTGTGTGTGTGTGTGTGTGTGTGTGTGTGATGCATGCACATGTCAGTGTGTGTTACCCAGGCTAACCTTGAAATTTTGGCCCTCTTGTCTGGGCCTTCAAGTAGCCGGGCTACCAGGCCCTTGCTACCAGGCCCTTGCTACCAGATGAGCCAGAAAATGATTTGTGAAAGTAGCTGACTGCTCTGATCTAGAGGATCACACACAGGGATGATGGCCTCACACCCAGCCCATGAGATCCGTTACACACAGGGATGATGGCCCTCACACCAAGGTCATGAGATCCATCACACACAGGGATGATGGCCTCACACCAAGGTCATGAGACCCATCACACACAGGGATGACGGCCTCACACCAAGCCCATGAGATCCATCACACACAGGGATGACGGCCTCACACCAAGGTCATGAGATCCTTCACTCTCGGGCACAGAACCCATGGGCAGAGCTCACCCAGAGGGCCCAGATTGCCTTTATACATTTTTTTTTCCAGTCTAGGAAATCTTTCTCTGGGTTTCAGGATAGCTTTCAGTGTCTGATAAAAAATTATGAGTACCCTTTCATAAAATATTACTTCATACTTTTGAGTTTGGATATAGTAATAGTGTCACATGGCAAAATCATAAGAGGTATTGATTTGATTTATTGTACTCTCACAAAAGGCTGCATAGAGGATTACTAAAAATATTTTTATAGGGCTAGGAAAATTTAATTTTGTGTACAGTGCCGAATTTGACTATATTTCTGGGCTGAAAGGAGGCGCCTTACAAGCAAAGAATGAACTCTTGCGATGAGCAGCTCTTGCTCCACTGTCCATCATCAACAACGTTTTTATTGAACACTTGCTGTGTGCACCGTCGCGTCAGATCATTTTCTATGTTCAAAGTTTTCTTTCTGCAGTTCTTTTTTTTACTTCAAAAGATATAAATTGCTAAAACAAATTCTGATGTTATCACCGTAAACAAGCACATTGTAGGTAAAAGTTCATTAGAGTTTGCTTGGGATGTACAGACCATAAACACGCAATTAGGTGGAACTGAGGAAGGCCTGCAGCTCTGCCTCATCAGTCCGGACACAGGTATTTTCATCATCTGGAAAGATCCTGAGACCACCTTCTAACCAGTTCCTCTTTGCTCTCGAAGAGCCACCGTTTGGGTTTCTTTCCCTCATGTCTGGCTCCCCTTACTCAGCACAGCTTCCAAGATCCATTTCCCCGAGTGCCAGCGTTAGTTCCTGCTGATCAGCATCCGGGGAGCACGCAGCAGTTCCTGCTGATCAGCATCCGGGGAGCACGCAGCAGTTCCTGCTGATCAGCATCCGGGGAGCACGCAGCATCCAGGGAGCACGCAGCATCCGGGGAGCACGCAGCATCCGGGGAGCACGCAGCAGTTCCTGCTGATCAGCATCCGGGGAGCACGCAGCAGGCGAACCTGTTTTGTCCCGTGGAACTTTTCCTGACTGACTGCCGAGACAGGATCTGGAAACTGTTCTTTTATACCTTCTTCTTGTTCTAATGTGAGCCTTATTGAAAGACCCCAGCATACTTGCTTAGCCTAACACCATTTTGAGCAAGGCCTGAAAAGTACGGGGAAGTTCAGTTAGAGGACATGGGCACAGGAACAAACAGGGTATCTACGGTCGGCCACCTGGCCCCAGAACAGGGTACTAAAGGTCAGAAAAACAACTTGGAAACAAGTCAACAGGTGTGTCGAGCTCGGGGAAAAACCACGAACTGTCCTGAGTTTGAACCTGGCCTCATATGAATCGTCCAATCAGAACCCTGTAAACCGTGCTTCTCGTGCTTCTGCTGCCCGACCCTATAAAAACCCTCCACTCCAGCCCGTCGGCGCGCCAGTCTCTTGAGTCTCTTGAGTGACTGTGTCGCCCCGGGTACCCGTGTTCCTGAATAAAGCCTCTTGCTGTTTGCATCTGACTTGTGGTCTCGGTGTGATCTCTGGGCGAGGGTCTCTCCAGAGGGAAGACTACCTTCGGGGGTCTTTCATTATTATTGGAGGGTGTTTGGTGATTCACACTTCCTTATTCATTCAATGTAGAGGCTGAAGCAGGAGGATTGCGATGAGTTCAAGGGTCAACCTGGGCTATGTAATGAGCTTCCAGAGGAGCTGGGTTTGGCCTGGGTTTGGTTTTCCATCCACATCAGGTGGGTCACTACCACCTGTAATTCCAGCTCCAGCAGATCCAACATCCTCTTCTGGCCTTTGAAGGTGCTTGAACACAGGTTTTACACACACACACACACACACAAATGAAATAATAAAAATAAATCTTAAACAGAATTATTTCTCAAGCCATTTTTTTTTTCTTGAATCGCAGTAAACTTTGCCTTTATCCAGAAGGAGGGCACGAGCTGGGTGTGTAGCTGTCTGATAAGTGCTTTCCCAGGAAATGGCAAGTACTGAGCTTGATTGCGTCATCTAAATGGGCGTGGCTGTAATTCCAGCACTCTACAGAGGAGGCAGGAAGAGCAGGAACTCAGGGTTAACCTTTGCAACATAACAGATTCTAGGTCACCCTGGCCTGTAAAAGCCCCGGTTTCAAAAGCCCAAAGTAAAACCAAACGAAACAGCAACAACAAGAGAGGAAGGGAATATCCCACTTTTAGTTGTAAACTGAGTAGACCTGCGTTTACATAAAGGTTCCGGGAACTGATGTTTCCAGCTGGCCCTCTCTTGGACAGGAATAACTACCGCTTTACCCAGGTGTCTTACAAAAATACCAAGGGTTAAGGGAGGAGACGGAACGAGGAGTCACTTTGCTCCTGATAATGAATGTTGCTGGACTGTAAAGGACAGCGGAGTGCGTGTGAGAGCCGAGAAGAGCAGGTGTGCTCCAGAGAGGCCAGGCCTGACTAATTAGGAGGCAGCCAGAGCCCGGGGCTAGACCAAGCCATTTTACCCTCCTGCTCTGGCAGAGGCGTGGGGGTCGGAAAAGAAGAGGTAAACCTGGCCCAGAGACAAGCCCCTGTGAGACCCCGCCGTCTCAGCTCACCCAGGGGTGAACCCGGCTGTCTTTGCCTTGCGGTCTCCCACCCCTGCCTCCCAAGGGCTGCAAGCCTCACCCCTTCCCTGCTTGCTGCTTCCCAGCAGAAATGTGAGCGCGGTGCAGAAGGGATAGACCGGCGCAGCAGGGCTCCTGAGTCACAGGTTGAAAGCACAGCCCAAAGGAAACCAGATCTTCCCTCCATATGGTGATGAGGGGCTCAAATGCCAACATGATAAAAAAGAGATAAATAAGAGCTACAAGCTGTGCGCCGCACCCAAAAATATCAGGCGGGTGCCACATGCTGTCTGGTGCGATGTTGTGGATGATCTGTCTGGGGGAGGAGGGAAAGCATCTACTTTCCGTTTATTCGATTTGTTCTTTGTGAGGTTTACTCCTTTCAAGCGCCCGAGCTGCCGTGAAAGGCTCCATCAAGCTGGTGACATGTCGGCCTATCTCCAGCTTGCAGTTGCTGCTCAGACGCGGCTGCGCAGATCAACAGCCGTCTCAGATTCCAGGAGCCTTTGCTCACTGTGTCATCCGGCGGGTCTCCTGGGCTGCCACCCAATGCAGGGTGGGGCTCCATGTTGACAGGTGAGGCCTCGCTGTAGCTAGCCCTCACCGGAACCCTCCTCTTTCCCCAGGGACTGGGGAGGGGAAGGGAGAGGAGGGGACCAAGGCTGGCCACTCCTTTTCTCCTGCTAGAGAATTTTGACCTCCTAGGTACCTGTGTTTTTTAGGGTATGGTATGTACCAGATATCATTGGTGAGAGATAGTTTAACAAAATGAAAGCGAAACAGAAACAACCGAAACAGGAAGGCCACTTTGCCTTTATCTGGTTGTTGGAAGTAGTAGTACAACTATTAGCAGGAATTTGGCCGGCTTTCTTTTACTGTGTACTATTGAACCAGGCGTGGGGCCTATGACTGTAATGTGGCACTTAGGAGACTG